CATAAAATTATAGTATATTCTTTGAAGATTTGTATTAATGTTAAATTTCCTGAATCTGGTAACTTATATTGTGGCTCTTCAAGAGAATAGTTTTAGGAAATATATACTGATGTATTAAAGGTAAAAGAGCATGATATATGCAAGCTCTGCTCAAGTGGTTCAGGGAAAAGTTGTACATGTATGTTTTTTATAGGATAATAAGATATTATAAGTGACTTAATGTTAATAAATTTGACAATTTAGATGAAAAATTCATCTTGGCTACACTGACACAAAACTAGAAAATCTGAATAGTCGTATCAGTTAAATGGTTATATCTTTGTGTACTTGAAGTACTTCTTAAAATGAAAATTCCAGGCCTATATGGTTTCACTGGTGACTCTAGTCCTACTGATCAGTTTCTGATTTCAGGGGTAGTCTTATAAACCAGCATATTTGCTAAAGCACATTGGCACCATCTTCTGTTTTATTTCCTTGTTACTTTTATATTAATATGTGATGGAATTAATGGAATATATAGCTTTTGCATATGGGGGCCTGACTTTTTTTAAGCCTGTCTCATTCACCTGACAAAGGAATCATAGCAATGCTAGTGAGAAATGCATGGACTAAATTGTAAATGGGAAACAGTAGGTGTATATAGAAGTATAGTTTGTTTTTTTGTTTTCGTTTTAAAATGCGTTTTCAATTGAATGAGAGCTTAGCAGTATATTTAAAAATAAAGGGAAAGAGCCAGTGGACATGATGAGAGGAAATGATTACATGTTCAGTTCAATAGGGCAAATAAGGGATTTTCCTCTCCCCATGTACTATTCCACTCCCGGCCATTTCTAAAGTTACTGAAAGCCACATTATTTTATGGATTTTATTGCTCGTGTATGTGAAAAATTCTTTATCTAAATAGCCTTTAGAGGTCATAATATAATGCCGTATTTTGAATACCGTGATAAATTAGAGTTTAATAAATAGCTCACACCTTTTTTATATTTGATCAGAAAATATATCAAATTCTTGGGGCTGNTATCAGTTAAATGGTTATATCTTTGTGTACTTGAAGTACTTCTTAAAATGAAAATTCCAGGTGTATATGGTTTCACTGGTGACTCTAGTCCTACTGATCAGTTTCTGATTTCAGGGGTAGTCTTATAAACCAGCATATTTGCTAAAGCACATTGTCACCATCTTCTGTTTTATTTCCTTGTTACTTTTATATTAATATGTGATGGAATTAATGGAATATATAGCTATTGCATATGGGGGCCTGACATTTGTTTAAGCCTGTTTCATTCACCTGACAAAGGAATCATAGCAATGCTAGTGAGAAATGCATGGACTAAATTGTAAATGGGAAACAGTAGGGGTATATAGAAGTATAGTTTGTTTTTTTGTTTTTGTTGTAAAATGCGTTTTCAATTGAATGAGAGCTTAGCAGTATATTTAAAAATAAAGGGAAAGAGCCAGTAAAGATGATGAGAGGAAATGATTACATGTTCAGTTCAATAGGGCAAATAAGGGATTTTCCTCTCCCCATGTACTATTCCACTCCTGTCCATTTCTAAAGTTACTGAAAGCCACATTATTTTATGGATTTTATTGCTCGTATATGTGAAAAATTCTTTATCTAAATAGCCTTTAGAGGTCATAATATAATGCCGTATTTTGAATACAGTGATAAATTAGTGTTTAATAAATAGCTCAAACCTTTTTTATATTTGATCAGAAAATATCTCAAATTCTTGGGATTGCTGATAATATTCCAAGGAAATGTGCGAAATTAAATCACCTACTGACAGCTACTTTTTAATCTCCCTTTCTTCATAGCTGCTGGTTTGTATGAGATGCAAAACTTGTTTTGATGAGACAGTAGGCCAGATATTCAGGCGTGCTGTTCCTGAAAACTTTTAACTCTCATGGCCTGCTGGACCTCAGGTTGGCCACTGGAGAGCAAAGAAGAGAACTGTATTTCATGGGCAGCAGACGAGGAGATTCATCAGGAACCAGCAACAATGGAGTTAGGAGCCAAAGGTCATAGAATAAGATCACTGTTAGCCATAGGACCCAACACGGTAGTTTGCTGCCTGTGTCTCTTTTCTGGTCTTAATAATGTGAGCATGATGTTTTCTTAGGGATTATTCTTTGATGGGTAGATTTTAGAGAACTGATGCTTTTATTCATTGTTTATCAGTACGAGGATGTCGTCCAGGAAAGATTGTACAGACGACTGAAGCGGAAGTTCGGGGCTTATGTATCAAGTCTCGGGAGATCTTCCTCAGCCAACAGTTCATTTGGAATCGGAAGCACCAGCGAAAATTTGTGGTACATAAATGGATAAATTTGGAAACAACTCTTTTGAATCATGTTTTCCCTTCCATATTTACATTGAGGATAATTTATGTAAAATGTTTGTAATTTTTTTTAAAAGAGAAGATTGATAGGTTTTATTAAATAAAATATAAAAATGTAAACTTTCATAAAAACACGTTATAGACAAAATATTTTGTCCATATACAACAGATAAAAAGATTGCTATTCTTTACGTATAATGAGTTCTTAGAAATAAATGAAAAAGATAAAAGAAAAATAACAAAAAATAAGAAGAGGCAAAACTTAGAAGAAATTTAGATGACCAGTACACATAAGTTCCTCAGACTCACTAGTAATCAGTGAAATGCTATTGAAAACAAGTCCCCAGCTCTAGTCAGACTACAAAAAAGTCAAAGATTGATATTTAGTGTTGTCAAGGATGTGGAGAAATGGGAATTCCAGTACACTGTTTAGAAAAAAAAAAGGTGTAAAATTTTAGGAGTCAATATGGTGATATTGGTGGTCTTCTAACTTTGTTATGATAATTTAAACTTATTTTGAAGACATATTACTTTACAATTTGTATTTGCTCTTTTAAGTTTTCCAGTGGCTTTTAGGCAAAAGCAAAATTTATGACCTTAAGTTGAGTGATCTCATTTTTGTAACTAGAAATATTGCTGCTTAGAAAGTCACATTTTTCTCTAATTCACATAACATTAGGAAATAATGTAAATAATGTATCTGGCTTTTGGTTTGATAATGCAGGTATTCTTTGTAGTATTTACTAGTGTGTATGACATAGCTTTTGTGGACTTGCTGTGAGCTTTTGCTACAACAAGGATAGTTTGCTATATGCAAAAATTTTCTTTCTCCTGCATGTTTCTTAGCGATCCACATTCACACCATGTAAACTGCAGGTGCTTAGTGTTCTGTTTAAATACTTTTTGTTCTCTTTCTAAATGTGGTTTATTAAATCATGTGCTTGGTGCTTCTTTTTACAGTGCCCAGCAAATAAGATACTAACTAAGTAAATGTTCATTAAATGGATTAACAGGTAGTAATTGGGAATTTTGTGGACACGATCAGTCTCTTCTATGAATTTAAATAAAGTAAATGTAGGTACTTATAGGTGATCTTTAAAATGATTTGAAGTACTCTTTAAAGGTACTATTTAAAAGGTATTAGTATAGAAATAACTTGAAGGTAGTAGAAGTTATTTATACTACATATTTCTAAGTTCTTGTTATTTCTGTTCCTATTTAGTATAACAAAGTGACCTAAATTAAATTGCCAGAAAATAAGATAATGTATTCGTTATCTATTGTTGTATAACCAATTACCCCACAACTATGTGGCTTACAACAACATTAATTTACCATCTCATAGTTTTTGTGGGTCAGGAGCTTGGACACAGCCTAGCTGGGTCCTCTGGTTCTGGGTCTCTCTCAAGGCTCCAGTCCAGGTGTGATCTGGAGCAGCAGTCATCTGAAGGCTCAACTGTGAAAGGATTCAGTTCCTTATGGGCTGATGGACTCGGGGCCCCAGTTTCAAATGAGCGGTTGGCTGGAGGACTCCCTCAGTTCTTTGCTACATGGGCTTTTCCATAAGACAGCTGGCTTCATCAGTGAGCATGGAAGAAGGTAAGAGTACAAGCAAGGGGGAAGTCACATTCTTTTGTTACCTAATCTTGGAAGTGACAGCCCATCTCACTTTTGCTGTAGCCTATTTGTTAGAAGCAAGGTGCTAGGTGTAGCCTGTGCGCACAAGGGGAAAAGAGTATACAAGGGTATGAACATTGGGGACCATTTCTTAGAAGCTGCTAACAACAGTTAATCAATTTTTCTAAAACTAACTTTTTCTGTTTTTAGGAGATATTCATGGACAGTATACAGATTTACTGAGATTATTTGAATACGGAGGTTTCCCACCAGAAGCCAACTATCTTTTCTTAGGAGATTATGTGGACAGAGGAAAGCAGTCATTGGAAACCATTTGTTTGCTATTGGCTTATAAAATCAAATATCCAGAGAACTTCTTTCTCTTGAGAGGAAACCATGAGTGTGCTAGCATCAATCGCATTTATGGATTTTATGATGAATGTAAGTGAAAATAAAAACTTAGAAAGTGATTAATGGAAACATTTCCTAATAATTTTCTGGTTCAAAAGAGTTCTTTGAATTCAGAGTATTTTCGAAATATGATCTACCAGGCATAGGCCCAGGAAGGAAGAACCTGAAACTGGGATACATGTTACTAATGAAGTTGGTTCCTTGGGTTCTCCTTGGTCATAGTGTTTCAGATTGACTGCAGTTTATGAGCCTAAAGAGGCCCTCTTTTAATTAGTTTACCTGGTTAAGAAAAAATATCCAGGTGAAAATGAAGGTCACTATAGACAGTGGCTTCTGTTTTTTGTGTGTCCATTAAGTTTTAGCTGTCACCATTCTTGTGATATGACAGAAGCTCTTTATTAGCCCTGTTGCAAGAACTATTGAGAATTTCTGTGAAACTTTTTAAAAGTTGAAGTTTATTATTAGAATTTTAGTTTATGCCTACAAATCTAGAGAGGAAAGGGTGTTGAATACTCTGGAATATCCTTATATTATTGTACATTTTTTCATCAGTAGGAAATCACTGATTTGCTGATGTGTAGTAGTGTTTCCAAGTGCAATAACTAAATTATCTTTCTACATTTGATATTTTGGTTTTGTTAGATATGTATGGAATGATTATTTGTTTAGTTAATTATAATGTAGATAATTAATTATAATATAGATTCACTTACAATGATTTTCAAATTGAATTCAGTTTTTACTGCTGAATTCCTCATTAAAGTCTACTTTTGCTTATTTCCATCCTTCAATATGGTAGAGTCCTATTTGAACCCATATCTCCTGATTCATATAATAATTTGACAAATGTGGAGGACATTTTATACATGCCTGGCACTATTCTAAGTGCTGGGAATAAAGCAATACATGAGACAGATGACCTCTACTCTCATGGAGCTTATGTTCAAATGAGAGTGATTCTATATTTGATTTTATGTTACATTTTTATTTCTGAGATGTAGTGTGTGGTTTGAATTGTTTAAATCAGACCAGTAGAGAGGAAGTTTGGTTGGAGTACATCAAAGTATAACCTACGTCTTTCTAAAGCTACATCAGAAACAGAGGTGTATTCTTAAAGGACAAAAAGTGGGGCCGGCCCGGTGGCGCACTGCTACAGTGTGCTGCTTGGGAGCACAGCGGCACTCCCGCCGAGGGTTCGGATCCCACATACAGA